GAAAATGGCCAGGCGTTGTATTGGGCGCCTGTAGTCCCAGCTACTTGGGAGGCTGAGGCAGGAGACTCGCTTGAGCCCGGGAGTTGGAGGTTGTTGTGAGCTGTAATGCCATGGCACTCTACCCAGGGGAATAACTTGAGGCTCCGTCTCAAAAAAAAAAAAAGAAAAGAAAAGAAAAGAAATAATATGGCTCGGCGCCTGTATCTCAGTGGTTAGGGTGCTGGCCACATGCACTGGGGCTGGTGGGTTTGAACCTGGCCGGGGCCTGCTAAACAACAATGACAACAATAATAAATAGCCAGGTCTTGTGGCACGTGTGTATAGTCCCAGCTACTTGGGAGGCTGAGGCAAGAGAATTTCTTAAGCCCAAGAGTTTGAGGTTGCTGTGAGCTGTGACACTATGGCACTCTACCGAGGGCGACATAATAAGATTCTGTCTCCAAAAAAAAAGAAAGAATGGGATAAGAGAAAATATTATAGTTACTCTTTTTAGGCCCTTAAGTAAAGGGATTATTAGGAATTAGATGTGAAGAGTCATGAACCCAGATAAAAATCTTATAGTATATTCATTTAATAGAAAAGGGTAAGGACAAATATTCAAAATTATTGGATGAGTTAATTAAAGAATTTATTTCTACAACTTTTGGATTTTCAGAGAGGTAGCTATATGCACACCCAGCCCTTCACCTAAAGCTGAACTTTCTTTGGCCCCTGCGCCTGAGAGAGAAAGTTAGTCATAAAAAGCAAGACATTCTCCTTATTTCCAGACCTGGGTCAAGCTGTTCAGAGGACAATATTAATTTCTGTGTGGGGAACTTGACATTTCATTAGATTAAGGAAGTGCCATTTACTTTGTTGTGTTTTTTTCTGTAGGTAGGGGTCCATGGGATTCGAATTGAATTCATCAATGAAAAAGGTGTCAAACGTACAGCCACATATTTACCTGAGGTTGCTAAGGAACAAGGTGAGTTGGATCAGAGAGATTTTAACAAACAATATCATTCCCATTTACAGTGGTGCCAGTAAAAGGGCAAGAAAGAGAACTGTGTCATCTTTCAGCCCAGCTACAACTAAGAATGAGTGCCTTTCCCCTGAGTCACTGTCAGACTCCTGTAGGACAAGAGGTACATCCCCAAAAAGATACAGGGGTGTCTCACCTCTTCCTCTCTGACACACATTGGAAAAGTAAGTGTTTTGGGCCACACAGTAAATACACAAACACTAAGGAAAGCTGATGAATAAAAGAAAAGGTCCGTGTATACTTTCTGTGATATCTGACACCATAGATAAGTAAAACAGACCTCAAATCTGTGTGTGGCCCATGGGCCACAGTTTGGACACCCCTGCAGGAGCTGGGAAAACAAAAGGACATAAATACTTCTCTTACTCGTCTGCTCCTTTCAAACACAGTGAATAGCTTTATTTCTTGGCCCCTTAAACTAGTGGTTAATGTAGCAAAATCCTAGCAATCAACTTTCAATTTGACCATGTAATAGAATGCATTATAAAAAGAAATTGCCTGTATCAATAGATACTGAATCATTAGATCAGTAGACTACATATCATTAAACAGTGTTAAACATAGCAAAGGGTAACATTTCCTGTTTTTAAAGAACTCAGTAGTTAATAAGTTCTTATAATGGGGACATTAAAAGTAGAATGTGGGTTGGGCAGGTTTTCTCTTTATGGGCCAGCACCACAGGCCCCACCCAACCATTTTTATCTCATAGCACACTTCAACTTAAAGTTAAACTTCTGTGGCGCACTTAAATAATACTGATCAAAAAAAGATTAAAAAAAAATTTATATATATATAATACACACACTATGCTTTGAACTTCCTTTTTTTTTTTTTT